AATGTTTGTCACTTGATTATAAGCAATTTTCTGATCAAACTATGGCCATAAACAGGTCGGCAAAATGGTTTTCGAGCTAAGCTGGGTCGGTCCAAGAATTCAAAAACTATTTTTTACGATAAACTGAACCCTTAACTGAAAAAACCTAACTAAAGAACGATCGAATCATAACAAGAACCAAACTATACATATATATTATTATCTGCGACAAAAAATGGGTTGCCTTTAAGTATTTTTTTAGTTTCACAGTTGAAAAAAATGTTAAAAAATTGATCAGTTTTTCAATAAATAAAAATATGTAAGTATAACAAAATTTATAATAATAAATTAAATTCTTTTGACGAAAATTCTAAGATATATGAGAGCCAAGATTCGAACCCAACCGTATACACGAACCACTATTACGAACCACCAGTTCGCACCGTGAACCGTTTCGTTCACCTCAAAAACGTGGCCAACACTTAAATATAGTTTTAATACAATTGCAACGTTTCACAACACTTAACGCTTTTGTTCGCAGCTTACGCATATTTATAGCTTATATCAGTTTTATACGCTTAATATCAATAACTTAAACACTTTGTAGCCACCCCTAACCCCTCCCCTCCCCCCCTCCTCCTCCCCCTTCTGTACTCGGACCAAAGTCCAGGCTTAAAGCCAGGCGGCTTAAACACTTAATCAGTTAATTGTTGTTGGCAGGAGGCCTGCAGCAAGACGGCGATGTGGACATGGGTGCGATTTTTTAATTAACAGCGCCATTTACACAGCATTACGACACGCACAACAACAAACACGCTCACACACACACACACACACACACACACAGACGGGCGCAACAAAAACGAAAAATGGCCGTTATCACGCCACAATAACCTCAAAATTTATTCACTTTATTGATAATGCAATAAATCGCAGCCAGTGGGCGTTTGTGTGCAGCTGCATGTGTGTGTGTATGTGTGTATTATGTGTTTGCAATGGCCGCCTGCAACTGTGTATACCTTTTAGTGTGAGACTGTGTGTGTGTGTGTGTGTGCGTCGATGGCAACTTTTTTCGTAGCATATTTCGGGCTGGCGCATATTTTTCATGTTTGCATATTTCATTTCAATTTTATTTCTTGCCGGCACACTCTCGTGTGTGTGTGAGTGTATGTGTGTGTGTGTATTTACATACACTGTAAAATATGCCATGAAAATCAACAAAAATGCACAGCCAGCAGTTACACACACACACACACACACCCACACACACACTTACACACCCATTCGTGTAGCACGTGAATATGAGCCTCAGTTTGCAGTTTTCAGTTTGCAGCAATCGTAAAATTCGCACGCTGCATGCCACACATCGAACAAAAAAAAAAGGAATAGTGTATACGAGTGCAATTGTATTTCGATTTTATTGCTTTTGTCTTTTAGAAGAGCCTCGCTGGGGTTTGGGGCACAAGCACAACAACAGCCCAAAGTTGGAGCCTATGCCGAGCAATATTTTCGTTTCATTTTCGGCGAGTGTGTTGATAAGACGGGGAGTGGGTGACCAGAGGGGAGCGGAGGGAGGTTCGACAAGCTCGTTACAATATCCGTTTCCGGCGGGACACAGTTGAGCCCAAGCTTGACTCGAGTCACCCTGTGCCCCCGGCAGCAATTGCTGTGCTGTGTTCATTAGCTCGAAAATGGGCTTTTTAGGGCTTTAATGCTGCTGCTGCTGCTGCTGCTGCTGCCTTAAAGCTGCAGCGTCTGGGCTGCATATTTTGGTCACACTTTATTTGACAGCCCGGCCAGCTAGTTGCAACAGGGTCGAGGCACCACTTGGCCCAGCTGCACGCTATTCGCACTTCCGGTTACAGTCCATTTAGAGGCACCATATTGCGGTGTTGCTGTTGGCACTTTTGCGCATATTTTCCAAAATCATTACTTAAATACACAGAGCAGGAGAGAAAGAGAGAGCGAGAGAGGGAGAGCGAGAGGGAGAGGGGGAGAATGTGCAAGAGAGTGGCCAGTGAACTGCCAAGTTGTTGCCTGTCGCCCTTCGCCTTTTTGGCTCGTTTGCTTTTGGCCAGTTTTAAAATGCATTTTCGTTATTTGCCGTGCAGCTGCGACGCACACGTCCGCCTGCCCCCCCCCCCCCCTGCCTGCCTCCCCGCCAGCCCGCCAGCCACAATCCTTTTTCTCGTATACCCTTTGGCAGTGAATATTATAAGCTGGTCGTGAATTATGTAACGCATAGCGTAAGTGGACGCTTTGAGTTTGGTCTTATCAACTATCTTCTTATTATTAATATCATTATTATTCTTATTATTACTATTACTATTTTATCTAACCATATAATTAGCTAGACTAAGTGAGCTTAGTAAGCTCTTAAGCTATCTTAATGAAACTTGGTAATCACGCGTTTTTTTTGCAGAAGGATGTATATATAATAAAGTCAACTGAATCGGCAAACTATATCACATAACTGACTCAGGAACTATCCTTGGTAAATTGAGTTTGTATATGCAAATTTCAAGATATCTTTCTCACATGTTACACCTAAAGAAAAACTCTTTTTTGTGACCCGAAATAATATGCCTGGCCTTAGCCGCACGAGCTGCAGTCTTCAGTTTTAAAATTTCATAAATTTTCACAATTCGAAATTTACTTTTCGGCATTCTTCCAAAATATATTCAATGCATTTTATGCCTTCACTTGCTTTCTATCGGTTTTCAGGGTATTCAAACTGCGCTTTACCTTGGTAGACTCTGATTTTTTGTGTTATTTTTTTCTTCAGCTTTTTATACCCTTGTTGCACCTTGTTGCACCTTGTTGCCGTTTAGTTGGCGCTTAATTTATGTGCTGCATTTGCGTAGCTGAGCCGGCGCTTAAATTTCACAATTATTGCACAAGATTTGCAGCAACAAATTGGCCGGCCATTATGAATATGTATGAGCATAGAAGCGCAGGTGTTGGAGGCGGGGTCTCTAGCTGGTCTGTGTTTACCTGGCCCAGGTGCGAAGCTGCTAATCCATAATCCATCTAGCACATGCCACCGAAGCACTCCATTGCCTTACACAAATCATCAATATTGACCATTGGACTAGCTGCCAAGCTCGGCCCGCCCCCACACGTGTCCACGCACAGACTATGGGCAGTTAGACGATGAGCAGCTCGATGAGCAGCTCGATTGACTTATTCCACAATTATATTTACACTCGCTTGATGAATGCTGTTAGCTGCCGCCGTTAAGTGTGAAAAATTCCAGGTGAAAGAAAAGAAATGGAGAGAACAAAAATAAAGATAATGTTCAACAGACAGAAAGAAAGAAGCTGCCCGGCTCAGTGGCTGGCAATTAGCATTGCCTCTAAAATCTGACACCTTGTCAAAGTGAAAGGTGGGTGGGTGGGGCAACATCTTAATGCTGCCAATTGCGCGTTTTATGCATCCACAGTGCCGTCTCTAAGCAAATCTAAGCCCAGCAACAACAGCAGCAACAAAAGAAATGGGTGAGTGCGTAACTGAATAAACAGCTCTCTGAACTTGGCTATTTGTTATCGTTCTGGCTTATGGCTCATGTGTACACAAGCACACACACACACACACACACGCACACGCACACTCTGGCATGGGTATTTGTGTTTGTTAGGGGCGTCCCATGGCGTGCCACAACTATTCGACCCCCCTCTTTACCCTTCTGCCCTTAACCTGGCACTAAAGCTGCTTAACTTTAATCACACTAATTGCACAGCTAAAAGGATAATCGTGTCGCTGACCGCAGCAAGTTGCCAGCTTCAGATTTGTAATGCCCAACTAAACATATTTATTTGTATTTATTTCCCCTTTTTTTTTTTTCAACTTTTGGCAACATTTTGAAAAACGTGTTCATCATAAATGAGTTCTTGTTCAAAAAGCTTTTTATTTACTCACCAAATGTTTAGCTGGAAAAGAAAAGGTTTTGGCTTAATTAAAAGGTGAGATTATTAATTTTCTGTTTGTCAATGTAATAAAAAATATATGAAAATTATATCTAATAAATTATTATTGTTATTTTTTCGTCAAGTGCTAAATAACAAATGACTTAGTTAGAGTCATTGAGATCAGACTGCGCCATGTTTGCAACTGCAATAATCAATGCAATCAAAATAATCAATCAATATATTTTTCATTCGGAACTTTTTCCGCTTTCTTGCATATGACTAAAATTTGATCTGTTTTATAGATCATATATTATAATATGATGATGAAAGATTGTGATTGTGCCACAATTAACAGACCTAAGAACTTCTTCAGGGTATCAAATTTTAAAGGAGCTTCATAATAAGCCATATTTAAGTAAAAAAAAACTCGTATACTTAAAACTCTATTTAATTCAGTTTTTAATATTGAGAATAAATTTAAATAGGTAAAGAGTAGAAGGTTTGCAGGGATTATTATTGTGAGAATTTTCAAATATTTGCATTTTAATTCGTCTCATATTATTTAGCTAAAGGACTTTCCATATAAGAATGCAGCTTAAGGAAGAATCTAGGATTATTTCATAGAATTTTTTAGACATTTCCAGCTTTAATATATGTATATTTTTTCGTCTAGTATTATTAAGCTGAAGGAGTAGAAAATTATATCATAGTTGGAATTTTCAAACAAACAATTCCAGCTAAAGGACTCCCCATATAAGAATGTAGCTTAAGAAGAGACGAGAATCAAGGATTATATCATCGATATTCGTTTCTTTCCGTCGCATATTATTCCGTTAAAGGACTCTCTATATAAGTAAGTAGTTAAGGAGTATAAAAATAATCAGTACTTATATTATAGTTGAAATATGCAATCAATTCCAGCCCTGATAGTTTTTTATATTATTTAACTAATGGACTCTTCACATAAGCCAATATTTGCCAATAACTCAATAACAATTTGTGTTGGATATTAGCAATAGTTGAATTTGTGGCAGCTTGTGGCAAGTAAATCGAGTAGCTGAGCAGCTGAGCCGAGTTGGAGAATCGTTTTCACTTTAGTTTATTAAATTCTATGCACACAGGCTAAAATGTTGCCTAATCTAATGGCCACTTAACTGGCCACTTTAGAGAATTGATGTACGGAGGCGATAAGTCAGGCTGAAGCCCGTCTCCTGGGTGGCATCCAGGGTCATCTCGTCGCTGGAGAAGTGCAGCATGTACGGCGGCGATGCTGCTTGGCGTGGTTGTAAATGTAAACCGATATTAACAGCAGGTCAAGGATGCAGGTCAGCAGCAGCACTTACCATAGACGATGAAATTATCGTTGGTGCCGCAATAGTAGGTCGGCTGATAGGCCGTATTCCTGGCCAGCAGCGAGAGCGGTATCATCAGATAATCCTCTGGTCTGCCCGGCGTATGCACCGTGGTGTGGCATGCCTCATCATAGCCCTCGCCCTCGCCCGTGCCCAGCGACATTGCGAACTTGCTGAAGCTATATCTGAGAGGCAGAGTGTGTGAGGTTGTTAGAGCTTGCAACATGCGGCAGACAGCGACTCACTCAATCATGCTGGCACTGGGCGTCGACTTGATGCAAATGGTGTAGCTGGTGTCCGGCATATAGGTGGTGCCCATTGTCGGCTGATAGTTGAAGCTGCGTATTGTGCCCGTCAGCTCAGTGTAATACTGCTGACAGCCGGCCGGTGCCAGCAGCTCGTAGTCGGCATGATGCGAGGCAAAGATGCTGCGCAGATCCTGCAAGCTGTTCGCATTGCCACCAAAGCCGCCCAGGGTGCTCGTTTTGCGTTTGCTGCTGGCCTGTGGCGCCTCCAGTTGTGTGACAATCAGACGCCAATTGGTCTGCGGCCAGCGCGTCGGCACCGCAAAGGTCAGCGTGATCTGATCGATGCCCGCGGCCACATTGAACGGCAGATACAAATGCTGGCCGGCATTCATGCCGCACAGCTTAAAGCTGCCCGCCTCAAAGTAGTCCTGGCACTCGACCAGCCGTTCATCTGTGGCACTAACCGTTGGCTGTTGCAGCTCGAATTGCTCGAAATCGATGCGCAGCTGTTGCACGTTCGCGCTATATGCCTCAATTGTGTACTGGCACATGGTGCTCACAAATGCGGCCGGATTGCGGATGATGGTGCGCTTCAGGCGCGTCGTCGTGCCACACGCCATGTTGGCTGACAGAGAGAGGGGGAGAGGTAGAGGTAGAGAGAGGTAAAGAGAGGGAGAGTGAGATTCACTTACTCTCGCAGCAGACGCCGTAGGTGCCGCAATAGCCATTCACCGTGCCACCCTGCCGCATGCACTTGAAGCGCGTGAGGCAGGTGCCCGTCGCACCTCCATTTGTGGTGCAGCTGTCCGCCAGAACGTTGCGTCGTCGCGCCTGCCGCCAGCTGCCCGGCTCACTAGCCCCCTGCTCGGCGGTTTGATTGAGCTGCGGTTGCGCAAATGTTGCAGCTGCCTCAGCCTCCTGTTGCGCTTGGGCGCAGGCGCAGAGTCCCAGCAAATAGAGGCTGATTAAAGCTCGCATAATCCTTGTGCTTAAGAATGTGTTTAATTGATGTTTCTGGTTGTGCCACTTGTTGTTGCTGCTGCTGCTGCTGCCGCCTACACTTTCACATTTACTCTGAGCGTGTGTCTGGGCGGCGCAGCAGCTTTTATATGACGCCAGCTGCGGCAGCGACGCCGACCGCGACGCCGACGTCGCTGCGCTGATGTGATTTTCGTGTTAGAAGCACTTTGTGTCAATATTTGGTAAGTCGAATCCAAGAGCGGCACAAGTCCGGCTTACGTTGAACCAACATGAATACGAATATGAATATTCAAATGTATCCAGTCATTGAACCTCGAAACCAAACCGAAGCCAAACCGAAGTCAAACCGAAGCCCAATCTCAGCCAGCTCTGCTCGACTGCCCACAAAAGTGGGTTATGTTTGCACACTAAGAATGTCGCCGTCCCATCCAAATGGGAATTACTTGCGATGATGTCAAAAAAGTGAAAAGTTGCTACACATTCCCCCATACCATAAATTGCTGTGTGAATATGACAGAAGAAATTATCAGTCAATCAATTGCTTATCAGCAATTAAATATTGCACAATCTCAATTGCACAAACGAACATTCGAAGACATGCCAGAAAGTGCAGCAAAATGGAAAAAGGCAATTAAAAATATACCTAAAATTCTTTGCATTTAATTGTTGAACAGTTTGTTGAACTGAGAATCGATGAAATTAAATTTGATGCGATTTCTTTGACAGCAAATGCAGCAAATAGCAGCAAAATTGAACAAAGTAATTAAAAGAAGACTTAACGAGAAAGTACGGCTATCTATGGCACACCGAAGACTTAATACCCTTTTCGGCATTTGCCTTCCGGTTTTACAGATATGTAAGTATGGTAAAGCTCGTAAAAGCTGAGATTGATGGTAATATCTGGGAGAACACACAAAATCTCATGACTTGAACGATTCTTTCTACAAACTATATAATATAGTAGTACGATCTTAATAAGATTTGACTCATATATAATAGTAAATGCCGGATTTGGTGTATATATCATGACAACAAAGCTTTCCATACAAGAACCTACTTTCCGAAAGATCCTGCCTATGGTAGCTATATGATATAGTGTCAGATCCAGCCAGTTTCAACATATGTATCTCCTGCAACAGAAAGACAGACCTATGCACAGCTTCAAGACGATATCCATAAAACTTAGAGACAAGTTCGCATGGAAACAGACTGACGAACATACTTTTATCTATATCAATCACCTCGGCTCTTGATGCTGATCAAGAATATATATACATTATGGCATCAGAGATCATATCAAAACAATTTATAATACCCCCAACAAGGGTATAGAAATATACATTGAATTAATAGAAAGTGTCTTGATTTAAGAATGAATAGCATTAATTTTGATGTGAGCTATTGAAAGTAAGTCCAATTAAAATCTTCATTTCTTGTTGTTATTTGAATTAACTGAATTTAAGCAAATGTTTGCTTGCTTTTAGCATTGCTGCATATATTATAAACTTTGTACTTGATTCAATTTTGATATCTTCTTCATTTAGTTTAGCTTTCTTCTTTTGTTTATTCCGTTTTTTTTTTTTTGAAATTCCACTCAAGAAGCTCTCAACTAGCAAATCGTGATGAGTAACAATTGTTTGTTCAATTGTTAAGAAACGCGCTGCTTCAATTAACTTTCGTATTTGCATTCCAAAGATAAGTTAAATGATTTAAAGCTCTTTCAAATAGTTTGTTATGTATTCTCAATTAATCAACACTTATTTTGTGGTGTTTACAAAATAATCGAACACTGCCCTGCTTCGCTTTCTTTCTGCAAAAACGTGCAGAGCTATAAATAAAATTTAACACTTTCCTTATTTTTCTTCTTGAAACAACGTTTTAAAGTATTCCGAAGTTAATCAACACTAACTGTGAGTTAAAAATAAATAATAAAAATCACAACTTATTCTTCTTCATCTTCTCCACCTGCAAATATTTGTTTATATTTAGATTTTCACCCGAAGTTAGTCAACACTAACTTTGTAGAGCTTATAACATAATCTAACACTCCTCCCCTTCGCTTTTTCATCTTCACCAGCAAGTGTTTGTTTATCATTTGGTATTTTCCCAAATTAATCAACACTTAGTGGTGCTAACAGTAATATCTATTCCCAAGTTAATCAACACTAATTGTGCAAAGTTCTTCTTCATCTTCTCCATTCAGCATCAAAGGTGCAAACATTTGTTTAATCACAGAGTTTTTCTTTAATTAATCAACACTAACTGCGTCTTCATTTTCTTTATCTTCTCCACATGCAATTATTTGTTTATATTTAGAATTTGAATTTAATCTAAAGCTCTCCACCTCTCCTTCTTCTCTTTGTTCATCTTTACCACCTGCAAACATTTATTTATAGAGTTTGTAGCTTGTCATTTGAAATAGCTACATATTTGCTAATTGGAAATGTTTGCAGAATTGCCAAGCCGCACGCTCCCAGAGAGACCCCCTGCGCTAGTGCGATACAACTTATCGATTTGTTATCGCGGCGCCACGACAATGCTAATTAGCACAGATAGTTGTGCGGCCAAGAAGAAGCAGCAGCGGCAGCAGTCGCAGCCATAAAAGGCCGACAACCGCCGCCAGAGACACCAAAAACCAAAATGAATAGCTACATTGCAATTGTCTGGCTCGTTGCCTTAGTCGGGGTGGGCGTGCAGGCGGCATCTGTGGCCACGCCCAGCTGCGGTGCTAGCACCTCCTCGAAGGACATCAAGCTGGTGAATCCCACGAATCCGCCACGCGAATGCGAATACCATATCAATGCGTACAGCAAATATGTCTGTCAGCTGCGCATCGACTTTATCCTGACCCTGGCCCAGCCGGAGCTGCTGGAGTCGCCGCTAACGGGCCTGAAGACGGCGGAATGCAGCGTCGATTACTTTGAGGTGAACGGCCTGCGGCTGTGCGGCGAGGAGGTCTGGCAGCACATCTATGTGCCCTTCAATGCCAGCGCCGGTGTCTCGCGCATCGATCTGCTCATTTCGCTGGCGAATCGTGCCGGCGGCTCGTCCCTGCCGACGCCCAACTGGGACATGGTTGTCACCCAGCTGGAGTGCCCGGCCGGCGCCTCAGTGCGCGATCTATTCTCCTCAAGTGATGAGCGGCAGGCGCGCGCCACTTCGTTCGACGATGGCTTTCTGGTCGCACCACCCGGCTGCCTGCAGTACTTCCCGCAAACCAAGGGCGTCGTCAAGTCCTTCAACTATAACGATGGCCATGGCGTCTATCCATCGCACCTGAACTATGCCATCTGCTTCCGACGCACCACCCAAACCTCGGCACTCACGTGAGTTGGCGGGAGAAGAGAATTGAATGGAATTCAACTTCTTATTTTTTATTCCAGCATTCGCTCGTATTTCTTCCATGTGGGCGCCGAGAGCTCGGCCAGCACTTTGTTAACGGACAACTCCTGTTATCGCAGCGGCAGCTCCAGTGTTACCAACGCCGATTTCCTTATGGTGCCACAGGCCAAGCTCGTGGATAACAACGAACGCGCCACCTACTTCTGTGGCGCCACGCAGAACGATGTGGTCATCAGCAGTAAGTAGCAAGAGCTTTGCCTCTCTCCCTCTCTCTCTCTCTATCTCTCTTCCCTATAAACCCTCGCTTAACTTTATGCTAGGCAACAACCCTGGTCCTTTGCTGGTGCTTTTCAACAGCGATGAAATCTACGACTCCAACGATGCGGGCTTTGCCTTCACCTACACGGTCGAATAGAGAGAGCTTTTTCTGATTCGAAAATCTGCTTAATAAAGTTGTAAACCCTTTAAATGCCGTTGTTCTTAAGCTTTTTATTGCCAGCACTTTAAAAACTGATTCGTTATGGCAAATGTCTTGATTATTTGATGCAACCACTTGACGCTATCTTTTGTGGCCCTATCGCGACTATCAATTACAGATACATCTATTTGCGCACCTATCAAAGCTGAGTTGCATGTTGACAGAACTTATCGCCAGAGATAAACAACTACATTTAACTACATAGTATATATTTGGTATCTCGATTTGTGTGTCAACTTGTCCAGAAACACGAAAACCTCTCGAAAACAACTCAATGAAAGTTACAGCTCCATAGAAAAAGAAAATTCCGAGAGCTTTTCTGCAAGCTCGGCCATTGTGAATGAAAAGTGAGGAAATGCAACAAGTGCTTGCTTATATTTATAAAACTAAACATAATATTTACGCTACACGCGCCTCGTTCCTTTTAATAGCGCAATTTAATTATAGAAAATTGATAACAAATAATACTTTAAATTTATGTCACTGCCCATTTTAATTAGACTACAATTAGAAGCTTGTGATTTACGTAGTGCGTCAGTCCAAAAATAAATGACAGCAAAAACTAAAAGGCACACAACTGATAGAGACAATGCCTGAAGAATAATTCATAAGAGTTTCTTATCAGCAAAAAGCATAAAATTCAAAGTAAGCCGGTGCCAAAAGCAACTGGGGGACATTTAAAAAAAATATAGACGACTATATATAAAACTCAGGCAATTTCGGAGAATATATGCGACTATAAATAAAGCGCAAGCATAAAGAAAGTTGATACAATAAGAGAAACAGTAACGTATTTTTTCAAATGCGTTTATCTACAGAAAATGTTAAGCGGAAAGCGCGCGCAAGCATTTCCTGTTAAACTCAAAATGGGCATGTTAAACTCAAATTGGCGCTGTTATCAAAGCAAGCTACCCAATTGGAAATTGGAGACAGCATGACAAGCAGCCGGCCGGCGCAATTGTTGCGTGGCCTTTGAATATGTTTGTGGCATGTGCGGATTTCAGTTGCCGTTCAACAGTCGCGAATTCCGAACGTACCGCGCGGCAGCCACAGTTTCTGCTACGACGTGGCGCGCAAATTCAAATAAAACTCAAGTGATTCGAATGTAAAGCGAGTAAACAGTGAATATTCGGCCAACTAAAGTACATAAGGAGAAGTGTGTAAAAGAACAAGTGCACATATAAAATAATAATAAAAAAAGGCCACTAAATAAAACTTGAACAGGGGCTGATTTGTTATCGCCGGTTGCAGTGCGTGCCGCTTAAAAGCCAATTTAAGTGGCAGGCATTTAATCAAGCCTCAACTCGAGTTGAGACCGCGGCGCAGCTTTGTCACTGAGGAGGCGACGCCGCGGCGTCCTTGGCATGCCTCTGTGTGTGCTGCTGCTGCCACCCAGTTGGCGCCCCTCAAGCAGCATCCAACATTGTTAGTAGCTGTTGCCGTTGGGGCATTGTTGTGCCCGTGCCCGTGCCCGTTACCAGCTCCCAAACGCGCACATTCACAAAATTCCCAGTGAAAACATAGCCATAAATTAACAACTAATTCAATTAACTGCTGACAGCGTCAACGAGCTGCTCCGGCTGCAGTCAGGACGCGGCACCAGGAGCCACCACCACCTGGCCCAGTCTCAGCGCGCTTTCCACATTCCGGTAAGTTCATTAACAATAAGGCTGCACTCGCATGGGCGGCAAGCGCAGCGTGGGCGTGACACACTTACGAGACGCAAATTGACAAAAGAGGAGAAAAACACGTGCCTCTTGTGGCAGGATGGACGGGCTTTTGTTCATTATTTCTTTTTCTGTTATTCGGCCTACCCCGAGTGCATAAATCAAAGCCAAGTTTTTGACTTTTTGACCTGCGAGACGCTGACGCACGTTGCAAAGTCATAAATCTTTGCTCACGCTCACGCAGACAGTTTAATTGTTTGCCGCATTCGAATGCAAACAAATCGAAATTCAAGCTGGCAACAGTGTAATCGATAAATCGACGCTGATGCCGGGCGACGCGACTGTATTTATCATTGTGGCACGATCATGATGTATCTGCAACAATTTGTCACCGTTCCCCTGAACAAGTTGAGCCTAACGAGCCTCGGCGCGTAAACCGTAAGTAAATACAATATTTGCTGGCGAATTGTCTATTTGACATTAGGCGCTTAGCTGGCGCTGTCAGCCCCCCCTCCCTCTCGCGCTCCCCCTGCTCACCCGCTCCTCGAGGCGACGGCATACTCTATCAGTTGACTTTCTAGCCATTTATCAGTTTAGTTTAAACAATCAAGTTGGCAGCAGGGCGAATGCACACGAGTCTTAGCCAAATGCGACGGCATTTGTTGACTGCATTTTGTGGCTCTCTCGTGGGTGGGTCGGTGGTTGGGTGGTTGGGTGGTTGGTTGGATTTAGTAGCACTTGTTGTTCTCTGCGTTGTTGTTGTGCACGTGGTCGCTAATGCAGCCCACATTAAGTAAATAATGGCAGACACCAGATTTATTTATCGTATACTAGGCAAAAACAAGCAAACTGAATTCAGCGAATTTGGCGACGCATCGCCTGAATTTAAATGAAAATTGCAAATTTTTGCTGTTTTATATTTTAGGTTTGCCATATACATAGGAAATGTGTCAGCTGATCCTAATTGCAGCTGATGAAAAATACAACTTATTCAAACGGAATTACACATTTAGTAGCTGCCTTGAGAGCACTCATTGATAAGCGCGTATTTCTTGATACTCGCTCGTAGTTTAGATTAATTAAAAGTATTGCGGCGCCTTATCTCTGCGATTGCATAGACATTCGATCTAATTTTTTTCAATTGACAGGCATTCCGCCTGGTTGGCTTCTTATGAATGTGTAGCTGAACTTAACCTATGCTAGACTAGCATTTTGTTGCAAATCTGATTTCACTGCATGATTAAACAAGTAAGATGAGTAAGAATAGCATATACTTTCTCCTATAAGAACAAGTACGAACTTTAATTTAATAAATATATGAGCATATTAGATTCAAGCCAAAACCTGGCTTCACTGTGTGTGTGAACGACTAGATTCACGCAGTCAGCTGGTTCAAACCCTGAGTAGAACCAGCAGGCAGTAAGGTTCATGGCATTGTATGCCGCGGATCGCTTTGTTATATATTGGTCGAAATTGCATTGCTTTCTAGATATCTTAACTTATCTTTGAGCAAAAGCTTATCAACACTGGGAACACTATATCATATAATATTAGATTAAATATCACATAAGAATAGTGGAATAAATATATACCTAAATAAAGGTTTACTCTTTCGATATACAATTTTGCTATATATTGTGGACGGGCATATAATTTGCGGCACCATAAAAAGATATTTTACTTCTTCCTAAAATTATCTATTTACATTTTTTTAAAGATAAAAGCAAATCGTTAGCTTAAACGTAGCTAATAAAATATTAAATATTTCACTTTATCATTAATCATCATTTCTTTAGAGATTAGAATAAATCGATAATATATCAACAAATGCAGCCAATAAAATAAATATATTATCAATTAATGAATCAATTAAATGAATAAAATGTTCATTTTATTTATTATACATTTTCCCGTTTACAAGATTCCAAAAATTCAATAAATTAACTTCAATGCAGCTAATAAAATATTAAATATTTCACTTTATTATTTATGCCCCCTTTTATATAGATAATAATACTTTAATAATATATTATTAAGTGTATAACTTTATCATTTATTTTCCCCTTTCAAATATTATAACAAATCAATAACAAAGCTTAACTTTAACTAATCTGCGCATGAAATAAAATGAATCGCAAATTGCACATTAAAGATAAAATCTTTAATATCCGGCCCACAAAATGTGCGACATTCATTATTTCTGTAAGCCGAATAGCTTGGCCAAGAGCCGAGTATTTGTATAGAATTTATTCATGTTTAGTTTAACAATAACAGAATCAACAAACAATACTATTTATATTGATAAAGAGCATAAATAAATGTTTATTGGTTTCAATTTCAGTTGAAAATCAAATAAGTAAACGCAACAAAAGCCGAAATGTTTGATTCTTTTGGCTTGTGCATTTGGCCGATGATCTTGTTGATCATCTTTCTGGCCGAAAGCCAAAACAGATTTTGGCAATTGCCAATTTCTCGCTGGGCGTTTAATCATTACAGGTTTTTCATCGCCGATATATACAATGTTTATTGCACGAAGCATTTTCAATTAATTGCAATACCACCACGCATCTATTTTCGGCTATAAACATCAAAACCGCATTTTCCATCAAATTGTTCAACTAAACTGAAAAAAAAAACCAAAAAAATCTAAACAAACACAGAAAGTTTGGCGCGCAAAAATTTCTGTTGATTGAAAATTGAATTGTGCGCTCAGCTTCAATCAATTTTCATTATGAGCGACTGGCGGGGGTAATGGGAGGGGCAGTTGGAGGGGTGGTGGGGGGTTCAACTTGTAATCGTCTTCGTCATTGCGAATGTGGTCAATCATTAATGCGTTGTTCGCGCAGCTGGCCGGGCTGCTGCTTTTGGCCAGAAGCTAGCTAAAAGGCGCAAATTATAATTAAAATTAAAATTAATTGTTATGAGCGTCCATAAGGAATTACAATGAAAAAGGCGAACGAAAAAACGCGCGCGAAACGCCAGCGAAACGCGCGTGCGCCGCACTGACTCACCCAATGGCTGGGGCAGGTTTTTGCTGTTTTCTTTTAAACATACAACGTGCTACGTGCAACAGTTGCATGGCAGACAAACAGACAGACAGACAAACAAACAAACAAACAGGTAGACCAACTGACAGACAGGTAAACAAACTACACAACTAATGTGACTCTTACATGGACAACTGTGTGCGGGTTCAATTAACGCAGCGAAAGACAAGATGCCGCTCTGCCAGAGAGTTGGTAAGAGGGGGGGAAGGGAACGGGATGCCTGCCACGCCTTTAAAAGGCAACACAGCAAATCGCCAATCAGCCAAACTGGCAGAAAAAGTTGTTAATTGGAATTTAACAAGCACTAAAAGCGTCTAATGGAATAGATGTCCAGGAATAGGCCTCTCTCCCCAAGCCAAGCCAAGCCAAGCGAAGCCCTCACTCATCTCCTCTTTGGAAGATGAGCTGTATTCCCCAGTGGTGCGGGCTTCTGTTACCAGTTTACCCACTCAACCGCCGTCGTAAATTTGCTCTGACAGCCGCCTTTTCTGTTGCTGTTGTTGCCGTTGTTATTATCGTGTCAGCAAATGTAGAAATTAAGTTTTGTCTCAACTGTTGCTGCTGGACAGCTGAACAGGCGCTGTGCCTCGTCAAGAGATTCAGCTGCAGCCTCATCCTGCCCCCGGCCCAGCCGCCGTCCCAGTTGCTGCTCCTTTTGGCTGATGCTGCTGTCAGTATCATTTACGTGCCAGCTACAGCACACAACAATCAACTTATTTGTCTGGCCCCGCTAAACATTTCAAAGCCAAGCAGCTGCTTTTTGCCACAAACTTAAAGCTGATAGCAAAGGCCACAGCCAGTCCCAGTCGAAGTCCCAGTCCCATTCCCAGTTCAGCTCCCGCTCCCTATCCCAGTTGCAACCACAGACAAAGAACAGGCCATGCCTTGACCATTTCCAGCAGTCGTGATTGCGTGCTGCCCCATTCCTCTGTCTCAGGGATCAACATTCAAGCGTGAGCTGCCGCATTTACAGTCAAGCAACTGAATGAGCAACTATTAGGATTTGCTTTAGTTTTAAATGGACATTAATTGGGGACTTATCTGAAATTAATGAGCTATTGTGCCACAAAATAATATGTATTAAATACTAGTAATTAATTTAAGAATTTTATCAAAATAATTGTGCTACTGTGAGATAAAATAAAAGGTTTTCAATAATTCCCGAAATGATTCCGAAATATTTTGACAAAATTCAAAAGTAATTGATTTTGCCAAGAAAATTGAAATACTTAAGTTGTTTCAACAAATAACTGATATTATTTAACCAAGTTTTCTAGAAGAATTAGTTAAGTAATTGAAGTAAGTTTACCTAAATAATGCAATTACTTAAGCAAATTAATTACTTAAATAATTTTGCCCAAAAAGTTTAAATACCAAGGATTTAAAATGAAGAAAGTAATTTCTTAATTAATTTCTATCAAGTATTATAGGTAACTCAGAATGGCGTCAGATTAAAATGTAATTACTTAAGTAATTACATTTAAACATTTTAATTACTTGGTCAATTTATGTGAACCTAAGTAATTTGGCCAAATTGATGATACTAAACTTGATAAATGAAATTATTTAAATAATTGCAAAATATATTTACTCAAGTAATTGTGCCTAAATATTGTAATTACTTTGCCGCAAAATGTGGCATTAATTTAAGATATTTTGTTATTAAAATACATTAAAATTATTTAATTATAATAACTATAATACTTAAATATTATTACAAATTAATTTAAATTCTTAAATGAATTAAATTATTAAAAATACAGTTAAAAATGCATAAAACAAACATGGCATCTTATAAATTATGGCTTTCTTTCTTGCTAACATCAATGTAATGCAAAAAAATCCATCATGGAAACAAGCAAATTTGTAAAATAGACTTCACTTTAGCATGGGAAAAGTTGACGACTAACTTTTCGTTGATTACGTTGCTTGGCT